CCAAGCGGCGCACTGTAGCAGTGCGCCACCGGGCCGGCCCTACTGTAGAGTTTATATAAGTTTCTTTAATAAAAGCAGCACAAAAGGTCAGTGTATTCAACATACAGCTTAGTAGAAAAACTGAATTAATGTACAATTTGAAGGATATGTAAGTAAAAAGTATTGTAATTGTTCCAATTCACTTTCCTGGATATATGGACTTAAGTGCTTTTTCAGAAAGTGATATTTTCGTTATTGTCATTTCAATAGATTTCTCTTGCCACTCTAAATTACTGTATGTGTGTATTAGGAAACATACTTTTAAAATGGACTGTTGCCAGGTTTATTTACTATTAAATGTTTTTGATAAGGAAAATAATGCACAAGCCAGTATTATTGTGTCTATTGTCAAAGTAGTCAAGAATATAAAAAGAACAATTAAAGCAAGGATGAATAGGTAAGTCCTGTAGAGCATTGTAGTTCTGGAGATTGTGTTTAAGGCTTTGTTCAGACAATTCTTTGCATATATATATTACCAGATACCTATGATTACATAATAATTGCTATTTGGTATTAGTATTGAGGTTCATATGTGTTGTTCTTTATTACGTTAATCATACATTAAAATTTGTTTAGGAATACATAAAAATGAAGCTATTCAAGTTATTTAAGATAATATCTGAGATTAAATAGAACCTTATATTTAAGTTATTATGCTGAAATGATAGATAATTTTATTATTTTGTTACCCAAATATCAATATGTGCAATCATATGGACTTCCCACCTTAATTATTTATGGTGATTTGTTGAAGACTATTCATTGTGGGAGATAACACAAACCTGAGTGTTAACCTCTAGTCTGCCTTAAAAAGGAATCTATGATCGTCATAAAAATTGAGAACCGAGCAATGTCGAAATTATATGTAAACTTATTTTCTACCCTGTTGCTATTTTTTAAAAAACTTATTAAAAACTAAAACATGCCCCAAATTAAAAAAAAATATATATATATGAAAGGAATTATATGAAGCTAGATAAATTATTACCAATGAGTTATTAACTCATAGCCAACTTTGTTTCATATATACCCCTCCTCCTACTCCTGGATTAACTTGAAACAAATCCCAAGCATCATTTTGTTTCATCCAATTATATTTCATTATGTGTCTTTGAAAGATAAGGATTTTAAAAAAATACTAATGTCATTCATATTTTCAAATAGCTAGTCAGAGTTCAGATTTTCTTGTTTATCTCAAAACTTGTTTTTACAGTGTATTTGTTAGAATCGGTATCCAAATAATATACATACATTGCAATTGATTAATATGTCTTGTGTCTTTTGATGTATAGTTCCCCATTCCCGTTTTCTCCTTTTCACAGTATTTATTGAAGAAATTGGTTTGTCTTAGTAGTGCTTCTCGCAGTCTGGATTTTGTAAACTGTGTCCCCATGTGTAGCATGTTCTTCTTTCACTTATATTTTCTATAATTGGTGGTTAGATTTAAAGGCTTGATCATATTTAAGTTGTACTCTTTGTCAAGAGCACCTAATAGGTAGTGGTGTATATTTCAATCAAGAAGCATATGTTTGGTTGTTTCTCTTTTTATGATTAGCAGCCATTTGATGGTCATTGCCTAGATTTATCATTCCTTATGGGTTACAAATAATAATACTCTAATTCCATACTACCGTCTTCATTTATTAACTGGAATGTTTCTAAAAAGCTATGTTTCCCTATAACAATTATTTGTTTACCCTGAAGGACAGTTCTTCTTACAAGGCTAGGCAGGATAATGCAAATGCTAGATTCTTTTCCTTTATTTAGCAGTTTTCAAAATAATGAATTGGAGATCTAGCATCCTCCAAAAGTGACTGATGAATTTAAATATATAAATACATGTATTTATATGCATTTGAGGTATTTCAGTTCCTTGCTGTTTTTACTTTTATTGATGATCAAGTAAAATTGACTTTTTGTAGAACCTCCTCAAGTTCATTTTTGAATCATTTTGACATGATTCCAAGAGGAGTTGTTGATAGTTTTCTTACTTTGTGTTATGACAAAATAGTCATATTATACATCTTCTGCCCCAGACCTATAATGTGCCATTTCTCTAAGGAGCTCTAGTTTCTTTTAGTAGGATATGGTATATAGAAATACATCTGGGTACTAGAAATTTCTCTTGCTACTGGATTGATCATTATTTCTAGGCTTTTGTAGTGGACAGAGCTAAAAAATAATTATCCTTTTTTCAAGAAAAAAATATGAGGCCATACTAACAAATACATCCAATTTAAAATCAAGTCTGTAGGGTTTTATTTATTCAGTCTTACATATGTATGTCCTTTTGACCAGGCTGAAAATTGAGTGTTTCTAATGACACCAACATAATTTTTCATTTGTTTTATCCCACAATATACATAGAATGCTCTCAGAACTAACAATATTATTACTACAAACAGTGTAGGATTTTTTTTTCTTCTTTTCCTTAAGATATATATCCCATGGGCCGGCCCCGTGGCTCACTCTGGAGAGTGTGGCACTGGTAGCGCTGAGGCCACGAGTTCGGATCCTATATAGGGATGGCCGGTGCGCTCACTGGCTGAACGTGGTGCAGGGAACACCAAGCCAAGGGTTTTGATCCCCTTACTGGTCACACACACAAAAAAAAGATATATATCCCATGTGGGATGAACAGTTAAATTACTAAATTTTAAAATCACTTGTAATAATTTCACTTTGCATGTATGGATTGGCAACTTAAGTTAAGTCCATTTGTTTCATTTGCTTTTGATATTTAAGGATTGATTTTTTTTAAATGTAATGATGTTTTATTAACTATGTTAAGTGCTTGCATGGTTCCAAAGTCAAATAAATAAAACAAAGGATATTCAGAGAAATTTAGTTTCTATCTTGGTCCCCTTCCTTTTCCCCCAACCCCTGGCCATAAGTCACCATTTTAAAAGTTTTACTTATTTATTTTATTTTATTTTTGGCTGTTTTAATAATATTTTATTTATACATATTTAAGAGGTAAAGAGTTGACTATTGGTATTTGTGTACAGCATGTGATGATCAAATCAATATCAGCACATTATCATTACAAATCATAATTACATTTTGTGTCCCTTACCCAATTACTCCCTATCCTCTGTCCTCTCCCTCTTTCCCACCTCTGATACCTATAGGTCTGTTCTCTTCTTCTGAAAGTTCAACATTTTATTATGGTCTTTCTTAAAAAAATTTTTTAGTTTATATCTATTCATCCATCTATCTATCTATGTGTCCCTCATCTTAAATAAACACTAGTGTGCTGTACATACTTTTCTCTACCTTGCTCTTTTCACCTAACAATATACCCTGGATATTGTACCATGCTCTATAGGATACATTCTCAATGAAGATATCACCACAAGAGGGCAAAAATTGGTTCTTGAAGGGTGAAAAAAAAAAATCTTAGATATTGTAGTGGTTTGTGGCCCTCCAAAGCACCACAGTACATAAACATATACAATATATCTGTGGTATTAAAATTTCATAGGAGGTGTGTATGATTTGGAATGAAAATACCTAGAAAGGCTTCTTGGGCAGGTAATAGTGAAAAGATTGAAAAACTGCTTCATAGCAGTAAATATAGGTATTTATCAGTTTTTTAAAAAGTCTATATTATCTATTTAAGAATGTATTATGATTTTTTTCAACTAGTCACCTATTCGTCAACATTTAGGTTGTTTTCATTCCTTTACAGTTACTAACAGTACTGCAATGAACATATGCTCTTTTAAATTTTTGCCAGTACAACTTTGAGACATAGTCCAAGAAGTGGTATTCCTTGGTCAAAGTATAATTGCCCATGTAATTTTGCTAGATACTGCTAAAATCCTCTTATGGCAATGTTTTAGTTTGTACTAATGAATATGTTCTAAGTTAGTTTCTTGTGAGATGTTGGTGCCATTTATGAGAACCTCTTTAGTCTTCTAATTAGCTATAAGAAATATAATTTTCATATTGCAAAATACAAACATATATTATTTTACTTATAAGATTTGTTTCAAAATTATCACTACCCCTACTTACCATGTGTTGTTTATAAAAGATAAAGTATCTGTCTAAAAGGTCAAAAGGTTTTTACTAATTTTTCAAAAATTCTATATCCCATCTTTCTCAGTAAAGACAGTTGCCAACATTAAGGGTTGCTCTTCAGGTAAATGTAGTGTATATATTTTTTAAATGTTTGTTTTTTGCTTAAATTTTATTTTAAATATAAAATATAAATTTAAATATTTTTAAATTGCCCCAAAAGATAGAGCTTAAATTTTTTTTTCCCCCTGAGGTATAAAACATTTTCCACTGGCATATTTCATTTAAGATTTGAAATACTCTGACTACGTTTTCTAGTTTTCTTCAGCCCATTGTTTTATGAAGCTGTTAGATTGTATGGCAAAAATCCATTTGTATATGAAGGCACTTCATCCTTATATTTTCAGACTTGTGTTCTAATGACTTTTAGTTTAATGACATGAGGGGATGCTATACAGTGACTTAAACTGATCATGCTAGAGACTGAATTGAGCCACTGTGTATCCATGGTCCTTCAGATATTTATTTGCATCCAGAACGTGGCCTGGCACACAGTAGGCACTTGTATTTGTTAAATAAATGAATGGCTGGGAGCTATCCCCATTGATATTCAGTAAATGGTTAATGAGGAAGGGACTTAGGATATCTAAGTACTTTGTCTATGAAAAGCCGTCAAAAAATTTACCAAGTAACCAGGTTTTCTAGGGCACATTTAACTGTTCAGAGGCTAAAGATATAAAGAGAAAAATAAAATTCAGGAGATGGAGTGAAATTTTTGGAGTTATTTTGGTTAGTTAAAGGACTTTATCTTACTAAAACATCACATTACTGCATGGGTACCTTCAGCTAGAAAAGTTTTGCCTGCTAATTCCTTTGATTGTGGAGTGAATTTGTGGTTTTTAATGAGTTTATATAACATTTTTCCTCTTCCTTTGTAGGCATTTGGGATCACAGCTTTGTGAATTAGAAAAACTGATTGATAAAATGATGATTGCAGAATTTTCTACTTATTCTCACAGTGACTTAAGTAGGCCACTGGAAGATGATTGTCAAGTTTTAGAAGAGGTATGTGTTTTGTACTGCAGAATGAAATTGAAGTCATTGTTTAGTGTTAATAACTAATAGTCTTAGTTTAGAACACATTCTTCTCAGATTATAGTGAGCAAAATTATCTTAAATTTCAAAGTCTATATTAGATATCTGAAGTCCCTCACTAGCTATGTGACTTTAGCAAGCACCATAATTGTTCACTATTCTGTGAAATTAGAGAATAAAATAATTTTATAGCTTAATTAGAAATTAGAGTTAAAATGAGGTCTTATATACTTTACAAATCAAGTTTAAAATATAGATATAGGATGAATTAATTTATATTTCACATGTGTTGTGAGTGTGTGTGCTGGAGTTTATTTTTTGTAAAAAGTGATCATTATCGTATGGTAATTTATCAGTCATTCAGATTCACTGAGTATTTACTATGAACATGTTTTATGCATATATAAATACATCATATTTAGCCTTCATATATCTGGTAACTTTTCAATGCTAATCACTGCTAAGAACTAGTAGAGAATCCAAAAAGCCCTGATAATGGCCTAAGTAAGTTAGTTAAAGTAAGTTGAGTAAGTTAAAGAGATTTTTGTACATGTTAGCAGTTGATTTCCCACTGAGAGTCCAGGTCTTCATTCCAGTCTTCTAGACCACGAATTAAAAAGCCCAGAACTCGGGCCGGCCCGTGGCTCACTCGGTAGAGTGCGGTGCTGATAACACCAAGGCCCCGGGTTCGGATCCCATATAGGGATGGCCGGTTCGCTCACTGGCTGAGCGTGGTGCTGACAACACCAAGTCAAGGGTTAAGATCCCCTTACCGGTCATCTTTTAAAAAAAATAAAAAATAAAAAAATAAAAAGCCCAGAACTCACAGAGTATATTGGTCACCAGGGTCTGAAAAGGAATTTTTCTAATTATTTGCTGAAGCTAGGCCAAAAATACTTATACATTGTTTTGTTACCAAATTAGCTTCCTTTGATCCACTGTGATGGAGTAGGATTTGCTTGTTTTAGAACACTGACTCCAAAAATCTGATGACAAGATTGCTGTGGGAGGGTTTTTTTCAGGCTTCTAGAAAATAGCATGTGCCAGGATAGAGATCTGAGGATCAGACAAACCCTTGATATTGAATACTTCTACCTCACAGTGAGATTATTTCATATTTAAAATGTGAAATTATATAATCTTATTTTATTTTAATAGGAAAGACTAGTATCTCTTGTATTTGGACTTTTAAAACAAAGAAAACTTAATTTTTTAGAAATTTATGGTGAAGAAATGATTATTACAGCAAAGAATATTATTAAACAGGTAATTGTACATTTTTATTTGAATCTTTTATAAAGTTTATTTTTATGTTTTCCTAGTAATAATATATGTAGCATAATAGTAATACTTGCTCATTTATTTAAAAATTATAGGAAAATAGAAAAAAGGAAAACAGTTCTACCAACCAAAAGATTATCCCTTTGAGAATATTTCTATGTGTAGATTGTTACTGATGTTTTTCACTGTTGCTTTCATAACACATATATGATTTTGATCTTATATTTCAGTGAAAATAATAGCATAACTATTTTCTTTATAGAAGCTTTTAGAAACATCATTCTTAATGTTTATGTGGAATCCATTAACATATTGGTTAAACCAACTTAACCTTTCCAATATGTCGAATATTTAGGCTGTTTTCAATGTGATATGTAAATAGCACTGTGATAGACATTTTTGGTATGAAGATATTTTGTTTGTTTGTTTTTCATATTTGAGATTATTTTCTTAGAGTGATTCCCAGAAGTGGAATTATTGGTTAGAGAGTGAAAGTATTTTTAAGTTGTTTGATATAGAGAACTGCATTACTGTCTGAAAAGATTTTGCCAGTTTATATTTTCACTAGCAGTAGATAAATGTTCATTTCCTTTTACCCTTATCTCTAAGAAATTATAAATTAAAATTCATGAGTTTTTTAGTCTTCTGTGATCTTTGTTTTGACTTTGTTTTACTCAGATAAATTTTATCCAGTAAACTTTAGTTTTTCTATATATGAAAAAGATAACATAATTTTAAATGTATTTTTAATGCTTACTTGATCATTGTCATTAGGTTGAATGTGCTCATACATACATGAGTTTTTAATGTTTAAATAAAACAAGCAAAAAAAATTACAGTCATCCTTTTTACCTCTCTCAAACACTGATTAAAACACTGTTTTTAAGTTGGTGTGACCACTTTGGGAGATTGTTGGTAGTATCTACTATGTTAAGTATACACATATGTTGTTACCCAGCATTTTTATTCCTAGGTATTCACCCAACAGAAATACATACATAAGTTCACCAAAACACACTAGAAGAATGTTCATGGCAGCATTCTTTATAATAAGACAACTGGAAACAACCCAAACTCCATCATCAGTAGAAAGGATAAATAGAATTGTGATATATTTATACAGTGGAATACTATACAGCAATGAGAATGAGCAAATTACACAGAACAAGATAAATGAATATCACAGACATAATGTGGAGCCAAAAAATCTGGACACAAAAGATAACAGACTGTATTATTCCACTTATGTAAAATTCAAATACAGGAAATTAATTAATTAATTAATCTATTGTTCAGAAATCGAGATAGTAGTGTCTTTGGGGAGGAAGTAGTAACTGAGAGGGGAGCAGGAAAGGGACTCTGGGTACTGGCAGTGTTCAGTTTTGTAAGCTGAGTTCTGGTTATAATCTATTGTTCAGAAATCGAGATAGTAGTGTCTTTGGGGAGGAAGTAGTAACTGAGAAGGGAGCAGGAAAGGGACTCTGGGTACTGGCAGTGTTCAGTTTTGTAAGCTGAGTTCTGGTTACACAGATGTATTCCATTCATAAGAAAAAGTATCAAGCTGTAAGCATAATCTGTGTGATTTACTGTGTGTATACTTTTAAATATTTTTTAACTGCTATGATTTAATTCTTAGACTTTTCTTGAAGTGTAAGCACTTTTTTAAAAAAAATTTAAACTTTTACATGTATTGCATGAAAATGTTACCTCCAATATGAGTTTCTTTTGGGATTTTAATAATGGTGCTTATACCTTGTTCCTAAGTATTATAGTTCTGTTTATCTGGTGTATGTTTTGAACAGTTTTAAATAGTAGATTTTAATTATTCCAGTTCAAGCATATGCTG